TAGCTTCTTTAAGCTCAACAAGCCAAGAGGAAGGTGCCAAGAAGGCAGCAAAAGCCAAGAACGACCTGGCCCTTGACTGGCACTGCCAAGAAGCCCTGATTATCTGTGGCTGTGATGTAAGCCCCAAGGAAAGCCAAGAAACTGGCAGCCACCATGACGAAGAAAGCGATCAAGAGCTACGGAATATGAAAAGCAACAGATCAAAAGAGGCAAATATCCAGCTAAGGGTGAAACAGTGAAACCCAAGGCTACCAAACCCAAGGCAGAGAAATCGAAAGTGACCTCAGGGTGAGAAAGTAGTTCACAAGAAGTAGATGCTGTACAAGAACAGAAAAAGTGGCCTGCTGCAGGGTCACAGACTGCAAACACTTTCATTGAGCCACTGATTTTTGTCATGCTTTTCATTTTTTAACTTGTTTCTCCAAAGGAAGAGAATTAATTTTAATAATTTAAATGCCTTGTTTTGCAATAAAACTTGGGCTTTGTATGAACTAAATATTTCTTCTTGCTATTTTCCTCAAATGTCTGCAGCAGTATTGTAGGGGACACAGATTGCTCAGAGATGCACAGCAAAAAGAACAGAGGCAACAGATGAAAGTTGCAACAAAGAAATTTCTGATCTGACATCAGGAAACTATTCTCCATCTTAAGCATGGTGCAGCACTGCAAAAGATTGAGGATTCTCCATCCTTGCTGGCTTTTTCAAAATTCACCTGGACAAGGCTCTGAGTGAGCTGATTAGCTCTGAAGGTAGCTCTGTGTGCTAACTTTCAGTATAATTTTATCTGTGATCCTAAATGGGAAGGTATACGATCTCAATATCCACATTTATTTAAAAAAAATGCAGAGCTTCATGTAAAGTTATTTTTATATTTAAGCAGGTGAGATCTGACATTACTTATTAGTTAGACACACTACACTTTTTGTTACTGTCTAATTTGTGACAGGCTCCATTTGTATGGAAACCACAATATTAGTAAAATTTACAAAACAGCATTCTGGTAGATAATTTATTCATTAAATGAATTTAATGTTTTTCATGAATTCACTTTTTTTATATACTTCAGCATAGTAGCAATGAGTACATAAACTGATATAATTTATATTATTGAAAATGTTTTTATTTGAAAAAATAATTTATGTTAATAGCAAAAGTAGACAAGCAAATACCCTTGCGATGTTTCACACAACTTTTTTAATAACTTTTTTTAATGGACTGAAATCCAGTTCTCTATTTTGTAGGAGTTTATTCCAACTTGCTGCACTACAGGGGTTATGAAATGCAAGGGACAGAGAGAAAGGAGCAGGATGCTGAAGATCAGAGAGCAGGAAGTGAAGAGATTCAGAAATGGAATTCAGATTTCCTGTGCCCCCGTCAAGGGCCTGTTCACAGCTGGATGAAGGTACACTGTCAAGCAATGTCAGACCATGTGGTGCCGAGAATCAATGTTATAGGATTGCATACCTTTAAAATCTTTGGGGGGACAGAAACCCAACCATACCTTTTTTTTTTTTTTTTTCTCTAATATTTAAGTCCCTTTTGGTTTCCAGCCAGCTATTCTATGTCTAATAGGGGTGCTTTTTTTTATATGGGCTGCAAGCACCGGTCCCCTTACGTGAAGGCCAAGCTCACACCCCAGCCAGAAGTACACTCTTAAGGGATCCCTCCAAGCTGAGACACCTGATGTCAACATATTTTGTTCATGCTGTGAGTGGCTGGGGAAAGATTCAGGCAACATGGAGCTTCTAGGTGACATGGCAGCTGCTTCCAACAGGGGATCAAACATCAGAACACTGGCCTTCAAACAGCAGCCTTCAAACTGGCAACACTGATCAGCAGTGGGGAGCCATGACAGTAAAGGGAGCAGGAACAACCATTGTGTTGGAAGGGACCACAGGACATCTAACTCCTGCTCCAGGTCAGAATTTTATGAAAATCAGCCACAAACGCAGGGCCATGTTTCTAAAACAGGCCTCTGGCAGTTTTCTTTGTGGCTAGCCCAACTGCATGAGCAGCAAACCTAGCTGGAGCTGTATGGCTTACAAGAGAGAGCTCTATCCAGAGACCAGCAACCATGGCAATTCAGTTTGGAATGACAGGGAAGGCAAATCTGTGTATGGAATAAGTGCTAATGAAGATCGGGAAGTGCATCTGCAGACTCCAGTGCTGTAAGGAAAGGGAAGAATAAACTCAATCACAAAAAATTTAATGGCACACACCGCCAGTGGAAAGTGCCAGTAGAGGGACACTGCACAGGTCAAGAGCTTATGAAGCAGAGCAGGGTTTGGTCTGTGTGGGTGGGAGCAACATCTACAGTCATTGGGGCTGAGGCTGTTTCTGTTTTATCAGTGCAAGATAGGGATGCCAGAGCATCAGCCAGGAAGGGGCATTGCTTCTAGGGGACAGCACTGTGCAATAACCTGCACTGTGTGTTTTAGTCCTGAAGACCTGTGGGAAACTGTCAGAGGCACTTTAATGGGTAATTTGGGCCACAGCCACTTTTGTCCTAGAGATACCCTCTAAATGCAGATCTCACTGCTTGCACGTGAGCACACTGCCTAGAGTGCCCCAAACTCCGAGTGCTCTATCTTTTCAACGAAAATATGATGCACAGTCAGTGCCTGATGAATCTATGCAAAAGTTGGAAAATCAATTAAAGGGAAATGTTTCTAATCCTTTTGACCTAGATGTGTAATTTTCCCACTGTTGAGTTAAATGGTTGTAGTGAACAAATTCTTCTTCACTCGTGTGACATTTAGCACAGCTCTTCTCTTATTTCAGTCACCTTACCATTTTACTTGGAGATGTTAATTCTCCACCAGAAAGTCATGGCACATGCACATTGAAAATATGTGTTTTCAGCACAAATTTAATGGGCTGGGAGGACTTATTCTTGCGTTCAGCAGCTACCAACTGTCAGGAAAATCTAGCAGAGCTATGCACAGGAAAAAAAGTGCTAGAGGAAATTCTATGTTTCTCTAGAAAAAATAATGACTTCCTAGGAAGACCTGTGATTCACGAGTGAAGGGAGGGTGGCAGCAGAGGACTAGGCTAGCAGGGAATAAAAAGGTCCAATTGACAGATTTGGGCTGGAGTCAAGTTTCCCCACAAATCTGGAGCAAATACACCAACAGACAAATAAACCCAAAGACATGAGAGTTGCCAAGAATAATAGGAAATAAATTTTCCTTTAATATGCATTATATAGACTTTAGCATTCAAACAGTGTTCTCCTGGACAGGAGCACCTCTTCCTGACCCTGCTGAAAGCAAGCAACAGAAAGGTTTCTAACCACTTCCCAAACTGTATGAATGTTAAATTTTCTATATGCTGTACAGGAGCTATGTTACACAGTTATATATCTATATTGACTTATATTCAACCCTAAATACAGAGTGTAGACTTGGCCTAGTTCAATTTCCAAGATGTCCCTCTAATATCTCATCTCCATCCTACCTTCCTCCACACAGGCAATTTAGCCCATCTATGGCCAATTTTTGACCTCATATAGAACAAATCTGTCTGCACAGGGTGTCTTCCCCTACAGAGAGGATGTAAACAGCTTATTGATGCATACAGCAGAAATCCAAGTCCAGGTGAGATGGTCTTACATTAATTGTTTTGCTCTTTTTCTCAGAGACATCTGCCTCTGTGCAGCAAATTGTCCCTGATATTGTGTGACACTGGCTCTGAGCAGGAGAGCAGTGTCCCTGCAAGGGTGAATGGTACTCTGTCAGCAGCAGAGTATGTTATGTGATGGGGGTGAATGCCTAATCTAGCAAACTGTCTCTCTGTTAGCTGGGAACAACACAGAGATCCTAGAGACAGGGTCTTGCTGATCTGCTGCAGTGCTCCAGTGCCCCACAGAATCATGCCATTGAGAGTCACACAGAGTAATTAATACAGTTCAGATTGCTCTTCCCCACTTACCCCACCCAGTGTCATCATGAAAACTGCCCATATACCTGGAAATGTTCTCCATATGTCGGAAGTACAAAGTTCTTGAGCAGACCAGACATCCAGTGCTACCACAGTAATTCTTGTCCCCAGGCTGGCCTGCCTCTAATAAGCACTTACATCTGCAGATATGTTTACCTTCCCCATCAGCACCTGGCTCTGTACAGGTCAGCACAGTCAGGGAACCTGCAGGAAAATCCCAGGTCCCAGATAACCAGGGATCCCAGATAATGATCCTTCTCCCACATCTGATTCCAATTTGTGATCCCTTTCTGCTTTGTGCAGAAGCTTCCAGGTCAGGAGGTAGGAACTCAAGTGGAGATATTGAAAGCAGGCTCAGCAGCTGGAGAGTGTGGAGGTAGCCAGACCAAGACAAGACACCAGGACGAGCTAATTCACTGCAAGTTCCCCGTACTGTCAGGACACACATGGTTCCTCATGGGCTTTCTTGGGCTTAGGAGTGGAGACAGCCATTACTGCTCCTTGGAACGAACTTGCCTGGAATGGACATCAAGGGATGTCTTCAATGGGAAGGGAGGGACAAGAATAGGGGAGAGGAGAGGAGGGAGTGTAAGAGATAGCACTCTGTTCTAACATAATCTTCTTGAGAAAAATACAATGCCATACTAAATCCAGAATTCTTCCTATCGGTAGCAGTTGTGTGTGAGGGAGGAAATGGGCTTGGGACAAAGAACTTCCCAGAGGGAGTTATAAATGATCTATTGCTGTCCAGGGACAATGAGGTTTGCCTTGGGTTCAGGATAGCTCATCTCCCATTTCTGTCACTTCTCTGATGCCAGCAGACACAAGGAGGATTGTGCTATCGCACAACAAACACAGTAGCTCAGGAGAATCAGAGAGGCTCAGGCTGAGTAACAATATTGGAGCTCATACTGATGCCATTGCAAGAAATATAGGGCAGGAATCCTGGGGCTTAGTCCTAGTTTTTAGTCCTCCGTGTGAAATGCAGATAAGGGCATCTGTACCATTGGAAAGGACTACATCCCGTCCCCATACAGAATATCCCCCCAGGGACAAAGCAAGAGAAGATGCAGCACATTTATAAGGACCTCTGGGAAATGAGCAGCTCGTGGCCTGCCAGACAGAGAGGAAAGGAGGGAGCATCTTATATCCTCAGCAACAGATTTTAAAGATGACAAGAGCCACCATAACAGACTAGCAGAGTACTCTGTGTACTGTAGAACCTGAAGAAGAGGATGTAGGGGAAGGCATAGAAGCAAGAAAATGGTGGGGAAATCACAAACAAGAAAGACTTGTCTCGGGTAGGTAGTGGATGAGGATTTCTCTTCTCTCGCTTCCTTTTCCTCTCCTGCTGTTGGGAGCTCAGAGAGCATCAGGCCTTCCACGCTGCTGTTCCAGAAGCTGTCTGCAAGGGAGAGGCAGGGGTTGCCCAGATCGGCGCAGACGTCGAGGAGGAAGGCCAGCCAGCTGGCGACAGATCTCATCTAAAGACATAACACACACACACAAGTTGATAGATAATCAAAGCTTCCTTCAAATTCTTCACCACTACATCTACAGAAACAGTTGAAACTGCTGAATCCTCATATACATGAAGCATGAAAAACAGGTCCTTAGGCTTTCATGAACTTCTTTCTGGCTTTATTCATGTACAGTACATATTAAAATCACTAGTATTTTGCTGCAACAAAGACTGTGTAAAAAAAATCTAGATTGGATCCTGTTTCTATTCATGACCAGAAATACTGAGATTTACTCTTTAACCTCAAAGGAATACAACTTTGAGTAAGAGTGTGTTTGGGGCTAGTAGAGCATGATTAAGATGGAGGAATACAGAGCTATCATACTTCTTGTTAGCACAATATCTACTACCCATTGTTTTGGCCTTGTTTTTTGTATACTGGATCTAAGACTGCATTGCATTAGAGCTCCTTCAAAGGGAGTCCAAGGAAACTACTGCAGACGGATTGGAGTCCAAGTTAACTAGTTAGCTTAGAGACTCTATCAGATGGCTGCAGTTACTCTTCTAGGCTAGCTTGTGATCTCACTCACCTTGCATGACCTCATTCTCCTTGCAGACAATGCGAGAGCACACCTCCTTGTTTATTATGTACATGCGCCGCACACTGAGGGATCGCCAGGGTCAGTGGCAAGAGGCACGGGAGACCCAAAGAAAGAAAACAGGGATACAGGCAATAAACACGTATATTCACTGACGAGGAGGCAAGTCCTACATTTTTATGATTAGTCAACCTAGATTAAGGCTGCCATCTATAGGGAAGTAATCTTGGCAAAGGCTTCATAAAATCTTAGAATCATAGAAAGGTTTGGGTTGGAAGGGACCTTCAAGATCATCTTGATCCAACCCACTGTCATGGGCAGTGACACCTTGCACTAGATCAGGCTGCTCAAAGACCCGTCCAATCTGGCCTTGAACAATTCCAGGGATTGGACATCCACGGCTTCTCTAGACAATCTGTTCCTGTGTCTCATGACCTTCTGAGCAAAGAATTTCTCCCTAACATCTAATCTAAATCTCTTTTTAGATTTGCCTGTGGAAAAAGCTGATCTCCCTCTTTTTCATAAACTCTCTTTAGGTACTGGAAGGCCGCAGTAAGGTCTCTCTGGAGCCTTCTCTTCTCCAGGCTGAACAACCCCAGCTCTCTCAACCTGTCTTCATAGGAGAGGTGCTCTATCCCTCTGATTATCTTCATGGCCCTATAAATGGCCAAATACCTTAAATATGGATTACAATATAGAGCACATTACAGTTCCCTAGCGCTGCACAGATAATAGTAATTGTGCTGTTTTAAAGGACACTCTGGGGATAGAATTCATCTCACCAACTGGTTCCCAGAGACCTGTAGTCTTCAAAAGGAACAATTGCTAAACTGGTTATACCATTTCTGGAGAGTTTTTAAGGCATTTCTTAGGGACCGCTGGTTTCTTACCTTGTAACGCAGAGGTAGCTGATACACTGCTTTACTGGTTTGTGAACAGAGTACAGGCGCGTGCAAGGAAACTTTTCTTCACGACAGTCTGGGAACACACACACATACACACAGACACAGAGGTGCAATCCAGCATCACTAACAGGCGAACAGATATCACTTCATCACTAGGTATTGTCCTCCAGGATTCTAGGGAAGGCCTCCAGCCTCTATTGTCCACTCTCTCATGAGGATGGTTTAGAAAATAGGAAAATAATGCAGACATTTCTGATCCCTTTGCCCCGTAAGACAAAAGCAAGAGAAAGTTGAGTGAAATGCAAAACAAGCTCGCTGGGCATCCTGAATACAGGAGGCACATGCTGTAAAGCGGGCAGACACAGATTAACCAAATGTAAATTGTAGTTGCATATTTAAGACGTGTTTCCAATAGATCTGCAATATCACTTTTCAGGACATGAATTTATTTCTTTTTTTTTCTGTACAATCAACCCTATAGCTAACTATGATGGGTTTTCCTGTATTTCATTCTGAAATGCCAGGTATCGGCCAATGACAATGGCACAATATTGACCCAGTGTATCTGGTTTGGTGATCTGCCAGTTCCTCCCCTCCCAGGCATGCCATCCATGTGCAGGCTGCAGCTACCATAATTCTCCAGTACTTCTAACCCAAGAAACAATCGAAAGCAATTTTCCAGGAGACAAAGCTCAGTGCTCAACCAGCACCTGCCTGGAGAGGGAACAGGGTGGGGGAAAGTGGGTTTGGGAGGGAAGGCAGGCAGCAAACTTTAAAAACATACCTGATGAAGCCGTTGCAGTTTCACTGTCAGACTGAACTGGGAGACAGAGGGTAGCAAAGTTAGTTAGTGACCATGATTTCTTCCTAGATATCAGCTTAATCAAAACAAACAACTGGAAAGCTCTTTTAAGAGCCCTGCGTTGTGACTTCTAAGGTGGAAAAAGATTCATTGCTACTGACACGAAACCATAAGAAAAGGTACAAATCCAATCTGAATCTAGCGCAAACTACCCAGGCAATAACAGTAAAAATCTGCCCAAGCTTTCCCCAAAAACATTACCATTACTGTTCAAAATTACACTGTAAGGACATCTTGACTTAAAATTCAAAAGGTCAGGTAAATTTATTTAGTTGCTGTAATTACTATTTATCTAAACAAGAAGTAAAGAAGCCTGTGACTGCCTCTTCCTAAGGAATAGCGACACCTTTAAAAAACAGCATTCCCAAGACCTCTTTAAGACTTCTTTAATGTCCATGACAAAGGATCAAAAATATGTTGGTTTGTTATTCCCTCTAATAAAGTAACCCATCTGTACCACAGCAAACCAGTACATTTTATAATTTACCCACTAAAAAACTGCAAAGGAATTAAAAAAACTGCCAGGTGCAAGTTTTCATCAGCAGTTAAGAGAGGACTTTTACTTCTGCTCATGAGCCATAGTGTCAGCCAGAAGCATAGACAAAACACATGTGCACAAGGGAAAATGAGTCTTTGGAGTGTCAGGGCATTGCTTAGGGGCAGTCAGAGATGGCAGGATTCTGGGTGTGCAAGGTACTATGCAAGGAGAGGGAAGGAGGGTCTACAACATGTGGTTGTGAACTGAGAATAAACTTACCGGAAGGAAGAACCCCAGGTGGTGTGACGGCTGCAGCTGGAAAAAGAGAAGATGTTCTGAAAGATCTTAATTTGAGCTTTCAGCCTCTTTCCTCCTGCCGCAATTCTGCTGATGGCTCACCACTCCTGACCAGCAGCCATCTAGTTCCCAGACAATGGTGGTCATGATGTTTTTATCATCTGACTTAGAATAACCACAGACTTTCCTTACAAATATGCTGGGTGTCCCAGAGATGATAGGATGCTGCAGAGCAAAGATGGGTCCCAATGGTACATCCTTTGTGAACAATTTCTTCTTGATCCCTCAATAATAAGCATTTCAAAGCCCAAGTTTGCTGCAAAGGCTTCACCTTTTAGTCTTTTCAGTTTTAGATGTAGGTTAGTCACGACCACTTTGGTCTAGACACAAAGTCTTATCTACACTCATACAGACTGTCAGGCCTCATGTACTGAACACAATTGCTTTCACCTCCCATCCCACCCAGGATGTGTATACAATATTGTTCTTCCAGTTTTCTCTTCCAGTGTCGTCCCATGACAGCTTGACCCACGATAAATACTCTAGACAGATGACGAACAGAATCAGGGCAGAGGACAGATTATGGAACTGATGTCCTGGAAAACAAGACACCATTCCCAGAAGAGCTCTCCTACACACACAGCACACTTCCCAGAAACAGCCATGCATAGCTGCCTCTCTTGGGACCATATCATTGACCAGATGTGTTCCCCCTCTCCCTTCCCTCTCCGGTCTTCCCAACCTCAGAGGGATGTGTTTGAGAGACAGCCCCTTCAGAGAGAGAAACCAGACATGCCAGATTTCAAACCAGACTCATATGGAAAAAGCGGAGAGGCTCCTTCTTGAGCCTCCTTTCCTCCATTGCTGATTGTTGCAAATGCCTATACTCCCATCAGCTCTGTGTCCTTCCCCTGAGGTTACCTCCACTCTCCAAGGAGACACACTGCAGGCTGTAAGTGTTCATCTTCCAAGTCCTTCATTTACCCTACCTTTTGCAGACATTTTGCTGCCCCCCAGTGACACAGCCATAGGCAGAGTGGGGAAGACAGAACTAAAAGAGCAGTATTTCCACTTCCTGATTCCAACACTGCTCAAAGTTTGCTTTACAACTGTTTTTCAGGGTTTTTTTGCCACCTCTGTCTCCTAAGCATCAAGCACCTGTGCCACCTGCCTGCAGACACACATACAACCTGTGTCCCAGTGCTGCCCAGTTTGAACCTGTCCAATCTCTCACCCTTGTTATATAGTCTCTTTGTTTCTGCCACCTTCTCTGGAAGACCAGGCTGAGTGAGCTTGGAATTTCATGGCTTTCTGCAATGCAAACATCTTCAGAGAGCCCTGGTACACTAGGTGAGATTGGCATTTCCTCAGAGAACAGACCATTAAGTCATCCTAAAATAATCTCCCTGTATGGAGCACAGAAAGGATTTCCAGACAGCCATAAACGCTGGAAGAACACTGCTAGATGTCTAAAGTGGGAAGAGGAGTTTCTGGGCATAATGGGTAATTTCTGTGTGTGTGTAGGCAGGAGTATAGATGAAAAGGGAAAATGAAGCACGAAGATGCCAAGAGATAGGAGCTTACCAGGGCTGCTGAGAAGAGAGGGAGGGGTAACATCACCTGGAAAAGACAGAATGTTCTTACAAAAGCTTGTCTTTACTTTGTGGTCTTTTACATAGCCAGCAATAGCCAGCTTGAATTACCTTGGTTGCCATCACAGGCTCATGAGACAGTGGGATCCAATCCAGTAAATACATAAACAAACACAGTGCCCCCATTCCACCCATATCCATTCCCTTTTTCAGTGGCTGGCCTGGGACTGGATTTTTTAGTGCACATGTTGCATCAACCTGTACTGAATTCTGGTTGCATATTCTGACTTCTCACATATGGCCATTTTAGGCATCTTGGTGGGAAAGAAAGATGACTGAAATTAAGGTGCTGATTCCTCCTACAGCAGCAGGACAGAGAGCTGAGGCACCCACTGCAGGGAAGGAGGGAGGCAACTCTAAAACAGTCTTGAAAGAAATTCATCAACAGATGAGTTTCTTTGAAAGGCAAGCAATGGCAAAACTGGGGTAGTGATGGAGGGATAAAATGTGAAGGCCAACTTGGAGGACATGTTTTAGACTGCCTTCGGAATAGTTTTCTGGAAAGCCCCAGATACTATAAGACAGGATCGTAGCTGGAAGATGTCTGAAGGCTTAGGCAGGGGCTTCAGCTGGAAGAAAAGGCAGGCCCTTGTGGTTCTTCTGGGTGCTGAAGCATGATGCAAACATGTATTCATTTTATGTTACCATGTCACAGAAATGGATATGTCCAGGGGGATAAAGCAATTCACCCCCAACAACAAAGCCAGTATGAAGACCACTCAATAATCTTTCCCAGTGGACTTACTGCTGAAGCACCACTTGTGCACTTCAGCTAAATGTTCAGGACCCCTACACCAGCAAATTATTTGTAAAGAGCACAAAACATTTAGCAGGTTGTCTTGGAGGGCTTGTTCAATCTTCCCTGAAAAGTAAGCTCACAGTGTCAGAGGTAAAGAAACAAAGAACAGTATTTGCTAATAAACAGGCTGTAACTCCACAGGACAACGGGATCACATGAGCAATCTTCAGCACACAACATGCCTGTAATACTTACCTGTTGCAGTTTCTGGTTCTTGCCCATTGACCACCCATGGAAACCAGTCTGCAACAAAAGAAGAGAAGGGAGTGAAAAAAGAGAGAGATTTCTACAGTTTGCAGGCTTTGTTAAATTTTTATGAGACATTTATCTATCCAGGAGACACCACTGCCCTCTGCTGAAGGGAGAAATCTCTTCACTCTGCCTCAGCCTCCACTGCTGGTTGGGTTTCTTGTTTAAAGACTTGTGGACACAGCGGGTCCTGATCTGAACCCTGTTGCTTCCACCAGGGTCAAGGGCTGGGCACAAGGAAAGTTAGTAAATACCTGCAGATCTGCTACCACACTTCACATTTCTGAAACCACATTTGATGGATTTTGAAAAAAAAATCCATGTGGTCTCCATGCTCTGGAGTCTGGTCAAAATCCCTATCTTCATTTTATAAAAGAGGAAACTGAGTCATGGAAATTATTTACTTGGGGTCACGGATTGAGTCACTGGTACAGTAAGAAACAGACTGCAGGTTTTGTATCCTCTTAGGCAAATAATTATCTGGTCCATCATCCTGCTTGGGTATGGGGGACAGAGCAGATGATCCTTCCCTTCTCTGCACCAGGGTGCACTGGCGAGGGGGAACAATGAAGGCTTGGCTATGCATTTTGTGTGGAACAGAAGAAACTGAAACTGGGCTACACTGTTTGTTTGTCCAAATATAAAGGGTGAGAGAGCTGCTTCCTACAGCAGCCAGGAATAGGAAAGTATTTCCTGCTAGCCACAGAGGAGGGAAATGTCTGCATAACTGGGGTGGGATGAAGGAAGAAGTTGGCAGGAAAAAGCCACAGATCTGGGGCACTGCAGGGATGTGTGCACGACCAGCCCAAAAAACAGTACACCCTGCTACATCTTGTGAACTCAGCCTTTAGCTTTCTGTTCTTAATGGGAGCACAATGTGGGTAAAAACTATCAGCTCTGGAGCTTCTGTCTTAGTTCTTCCATGTTCCAAGAACAGTTACTTGCAGACTGCAGAGGGACTCTTGGGACCCCTACATAATCCTGCTTTGCAGCATTACAGAAGTTGTTGGACCCTGATATTCTCTTCCCCACCCAGCTGCCAGCAACGGCTCAGCCGCTGGCAATTAACCCAGAGAAAGCCAGACATGTATAATAACTTAATTGCACAATTTAATGCAGCACAAAACTTTCCCTGTTCTGGCTAATCCCTTAAGCGTAACACGTAGAGAAGTAAACAGTACTGAACACTTTCTCACTTGTTTCTGATGCAAAAGCAAGGACCCAAATTCTGAAACCATTGCAGAAACCAGCAGTGCTGGATTTGAAGAGACATGTAGAAAAGGCAGGGAGGCTCTCCCCTCTTTTCTAACATCGAAAACACAGCTCTTGCTAGTTTGGTGAGTTTTTTTCCTCCCTAGGAGCTAACTAGAAAACTGATCTAATTCTAAACCAACAGGACATAAAGTGAAGTGAAATCTCTGCATATGAGGTGAGGAGACAAAACAGGTGACTTTCTTATCCTATCTTCAATTACTTTAATTTATATTTGCTATTGTACACAATTCATATGTTTTATAAACAACTGGACTTTATTCTCCAAGTTGCAGTAAATTCATCCTTGAGGTCTAAAACTGCAACCCTAGCTAACTGAATCTGTAGCTTACCCCAAACCAAAAGAAACAGTAAAAGACCAGCTGGTCGTTCTTGTTATTTTCCAAGTTAAAACAAACAAACAAACACAAACGGAACTGCTAAAACAAAATACACCAAAGTAAGAATTATTCTTTTCAGGACTCCTTCATATATCATGAAAAACACAGACTTTTTTTTTTCCCTTTAACTTTGTAGGCCACCTACAAACTCATCTCTTGCATGTCTCACCTCCCTGCTTCACAGTCAAAATATGACATCATCTACTGTGCACCTTTAAAGGAAAAAGTGCTTTTTGGAGCAGAGTCAGGCTTCGGCATGAGGGGAAGACCAAAGCAGGTATTGCAATAAGCTGATTTGAACGTGACAGGTAGTCAGGTAGTCATCTCTCTCCCACTTGGAGTCTTTCCTGGACGAAGCTTTATCCATTCACTGAAATTCATCTTCTTCCGCTATCTGTCCTGAGTCTTCCAACTATAATGTCTGATGCTGTCCTCTAGTTTTGGGGGTTCTGTGCTTCTTTTTTTTGTTTTAAACAAATTTTATCCCACCTGAATTTTTGCCAAAATAGCTCCAAGCAAACAGAATCATGGAGCAACAAAACAGAGTAACAACATTCACCA